AAGCACGGGGGTTTACGACCTTGTTCTTCTACGTGTATAACACCACCACCACGTGCATTACATATAGAGGACCAGAAGGCTACGCCCTTCTACCTGTACATGCAACGCACATTACAGTAATACAAAAATAGCAATACAAAACTCAAGAAACGAAGGCATTCAAGCATAAACTAAAAATCATTATAATACAACTAATGCAGTTATCGTAATAAACTAAAACAAATACCAAATCTATTTATTATTGAATACATGCACTATCCTGTCCACTTGCCCGCAATCCTCCCTCCCACCATCTGGGAGCTTACACCTAACTCTAGATATTTGGCCCTCCTAGCTCGGTACTCTATTTTCAGACAATATTATCATATTATGTACGGCTGTAATAGTGTTTGAGAATAAGAGACTCCGTTTAGTAAGGCAATAAAATATCTGACAAGTAATGTCATGAAAATTTAATTTAAGACTTCAATACTTTCCTGCTCATAATTATTTGTACTAGTGTCATAAAACATCTGGAAAACTCTAGCGGAACGTGCTCATACTCCCAGTGCAGTAGAACCTAATGGGTTTACTGCCGGGAGAACCCCAAAGTAGATTCGAAACGAATATCAGATATGCGTGAAGCATTGAGTACAAATATTTACTGCAACCCAAAACCCGCACGTGCAACAACCTGCAATTACCATACGTGCGCACTCGGCCTTTAAGACAATGCTTGCATTGTTCTTGGCTATGCCACATCTGGTCGATCGTATTGGAAAATTGACCACGCCCAAGCGGACCCTTCATCTAGTCAAGTCCCAGAGAGGGATGAGACAACCAATGAGAGGTGACCAATGGAAAAGGCTCGCCACCTTCCGACACTTTCCCAATTAGCAAATTCGGAACTGAGCCCGGAAGGAAGTGGAAATGAAGGCGTGCATAATCTATTGTGCGACCCAAGATCAACCACTGATTGGTTAATTAATAAAGGAAGAAGGGATCCCAAGTGGAGCGGGATCAGTGAACCATTTAAGAAGGGACTACGTAATGTACCCTCACTTACTCTTTCCAAATACTTCTTACAGTATAAGGATAAGTCACGACTTACTC